CGGTAAACTACTGCTTACGAAAAAACGATTCTGAGCGGAGTCTAGTTGATAGTGATATTTTATCAACAGTAATATGTCGTATCATGGCAAAACAATCAATAGGCAAACAGTATATTATCATTAATAATATTTGTTTGATGTACCGATTTTCCTAGGTTTTTTTTTCTGGTTTTTCACATTTGTTGAGAAATTTCCTGAGAAAATCGAAAAACGACATTTTTAAAGTACATTCCCAATGAAATTTTCTATTAGAAAAACTGCTGTCATTAAAATTTGGAGCAAAATTTCTGGTTTAATAGTTGTACACAGGAAAAAAAAGTCATAATATTTTACTGATATAGGTAGTACATTTTCCTGTTTTTTTTCGGTTTTTCAAATTTTATAAGAAAACTTTTGAGATAATTGAAAAACAACCTACCAAAAGTACCACCCCACAACGATTTTCTTTCAGAAAAGATGCTACACGTAAAAATCGGAGCAAGTCTTCTCTACTTCACTCTGAATCTAAAAAAACTTCATTTGTACAAGCGTGGCCGATAATAATTCCGAACGGAGCCCGTACGAATATCCATTTGCGAGTAATTAATAGACTCGTCAATAACGACCGTGATTAAGTAAACATTTTCCAATATTTATTTTCGAGAAAAGTTCCCTAGGTGAGTTGCATTTAGTTAAACGTTCAATACAATTTTCTTGCGTATAACATCGTTTGTTGCGGAATTTTCGGAACATTTTATCCATGTAAAACATTAGACGATTGTTGCCATTAGCTTTTGAAGTTTTGACCTTATATTATTTTCATAGCAAAGAAAAACGCGCGACACGAATCTACGCCAGAGAGAAAAAACAAATCAGAAGAGAAATTCACAATTTTCTTTCTCTGAAATAAAATACAGATTCATCGCAGCCCTATGAGACTGACATATAAGTATTATACTCGTATATATAGGTGCACCGAGTCGATATTTTACGACGTTGACTTGGTTAAAAAACGCTTTCAGCAAAATACAAACAAACCGTATACCCGATGAGTGAAAAATGCATATAAACCGTGGTCCGTGACCTGTACCGTGCGCTATTTTATTAAAACAAACGCGATAGACCGGACCTTTTTTTTATGCGTTGCGCGCGCACGAATTCCAAATATATTATACCGCGTCCTCGTAAAAAAAGGCCACAGCGACAGAGAACTGATATGAAAAGAAGGCGAGAAAACCGCTGGAGAAAGAAAATGAAACACGAAAATGTACCCGCGATCCATTGCCGACATTTACCGTCGTTTCGTATTTTCTCGAAACACAGTCGAGCCCGCGTAACTTAATACAATTATATTATCATACGATTTTATTGTTTGTACTTGGAAATTGCGAGACGGCCATGCAGATCAATAACAATAACGATAATAATTTATTTGCAAGTTTTTATGCTGTGCCATATTTTACTACACTGACATTTTGACACGGATTCCTCTTTAGTTCTTATCGCTTCAACTGTATAATACGCACGTCATATATAGGCGCGAATAGGCGGGCCCAATCAAATCCTTATCAAGTGAATACTACTCTGCATCAATACGCGGCGCGATTTTGAACAGAACCGGAAGTTTCAACCTACATTTTTTTTATTTTTATAAACAATATTGTTAATTCCGTATACACGCGTTGTTAAAAAAAAAAAAAAAAAAATTATTATTATTATTATTATAATAACATTCCTAACGCGACCCAGCGGCGTACTTCGGGCCAGTTCTTGGTAGGGAATGACCGTTTTTTTTGAAATTGTATAGAAGGCGGGCGTGAGTATGGACTTATTAGGCAAAGGCATATTTTCAATGGGGAAGGGGTATAGGATTTAGAAAAAAAAAAAAAGAACTATTCCAGAAAGACGACGGAGAGATGACGGTATAATACGTCATAATAACAGATCTAGGCTTCAGAGCCATATTGCTCCGTGGCTATATACACGCGGTCTCGATCTATCGGTACGTTTCTATATGGCCAGTACTGGAAATCCGTCGAACCGATTTTAACGAGCAAAATATTTAGCTATTAGGAATATACCACGTGTAATGTTTGTATTCAAATTTCCGATTTTAAACATACCACTCTGGCATCGTATTTCACAAGTGCGTTAAGATCCTCATTAAAGTTTCGAGTACATGCGTTTATACGTAACAGTCGAACGGGTAATGAACATTGGGGGAGGACTCGGGTATCAAATCCATCCGGGTCCTCCCCCAACGTTTACGCCACTGACCTAACATAAGCCATTGTCTGAGCCAAAGCTTTGACATGTTAGGTACTTATAGGTCGGTTTAATTATTAAACGGTCGTTTATGATTTTTAATGAGTTGGCTAACAATCTGTTTGAAAAAATTAAACGCTTAAAGTTCTAAACAACTAAACGATTCCTATATGTTGCTGCGTGTATTGCCTATTGACAATCCACAAAGACAACGGGTAAGTTAACCGATTTGTTAACTGGTCCAAGTTATGCTATATTCAGCTGAAAGAAAAAAAGGCAGGATACCTACATAAAGTTATTTAATTTATGTTTGCGAACGCGGCGATAAACTACAGCTTACGAAAAACGATTTTGAGTGCAGAATGTTTTGAAATTAAAAAATTAAAATTAAAAAAAATACTAAATTACGAACGAACATTCTGTTAATAGTCACCAGAAAGTCAACAGGAATGTTTAGACCACGTATAAAAAAGGCTCTCTAAGACTGGCCGTCCACTGAAGAATCTAATTTCATGAAACGTGAAACTTTAGTTTCACAAAAACCATTCAATTAAAAAAACAAATAGATACGTACACTGAGTATCACGAAACAAAAGTTTCTCATAGTTGCACAATCGTGGTTTCATGAAACTAGTGATTTTGGTTTTAACAATATAGTTTTGTCATTATGATAATGGCAGTTTTTAATTTATACTTTGGAAGCTTGTTTTATTTTTTAAAAGCAGGTAAATGAATTATTTTATTCATAATATAATATAATATAATATTATATTTTACATTTTTTCTGATCCTAAAGCCATTCTCCAGTCTCTCTTTGTTATATTATCTGGTCCAACTAACTGCACAAACGGTGCAAAGCAACTTGAGACATTCTATAAAAACTTCGGAATTTATCCTCATCGGCAGATAATTCCTTCGCAACTACAAAGTTATTGTGCTGCTTATCATTTAAAAGTGGATGAATCCAATACCTACTTACGTTTTTTTTTTTTTTTTTTATAATTATTACGAAGCCGCCGGTATAGCCTAATAACCAACTTTTATCCTCAGACGACATTGATGAAACTACACATTTTTAGTTTCATGGGTATGTGTACAAATATAAAACTAGTTTCATGAAATTGGTTTCTTAAATCTAGTCTCTCCAGTGTGCGGTTCGCCTAAGATTATTTTTAACCGAATTACTACAAAAAACCGAAAACGAAAATAATTAAACCGTTAATGCCGTGTAAACTTTCCCGAGTTTTCTTTCTACGTTTTTTTCCCGATCATTAAGAAAACTCTACGGTAAATCGAAAAACATTTACTTTCTCACTCATCAGCTAGAACCAAAAAAAAGGCCTCTGGTCATTTTTTGATTGGAACAAGATTTCCGATGGAAAAGTTTACATTTGACAGTTTTTACAGTCAAGTTATGAAACCAATACACAGCGCTAGGAACTTCCAAAAATAACGTAACTAAGTTAAAAGTAATTTGTATAAAATATAAATTAATTTGAGTATTTAATTTTGTTAAATTATACAATTACACATTTGCGAGAAAACACAAAACGAAGTTGAAAGTTATAATTTATAATTGAATGGCTAGGCAGGGACGTATTTAGGGGGGAAAGGGGTAGCGTCGCTCCAGACGGCAAATTTTTTTGGAATTAAAGGGCGGAGACATTTTTTCGTAACCATTATCCATCGTCCATTTTCATTTGTCAATCAAAACATTAAAATATTTTTTAGATTTCGGATAGCGGCTACACTGCGGTTTTTATTTTTCTTTATAATATTATTAAAAGTTGACTGCGTAAAATCCATAGATAATAATTTATTATTATCTATCTTGAAAAATCGTATTGCTTCGGTGCCAATTCCATTATTTTGGTTAAAAAGTAAATGCGAATTATAAAATCACCAATTATATTTCATGTGAATGAAAAATGATTTTATACTTTCATAAACATTATTTAATATACCTAATTAAACTTATAACACAATGTGTATAAGTCTTACTTCTGTTTTTATGTTGTCCAGTTTTCTAATTTATTGTTCATCGGAAAGATCGTTTAGTGTTCTAAAGACAGTTAAAACATATCTAAGGTCTAGAATGACAAATGATCGGCTCAATAACTTGGCGATTCTTCATATACAGTCAGATTTAACAACTCAAACACTTTATGACGAAATTCGCTGTATCACAAGATTTCAGTTAGAACAAGTCTAGGCGTGAATTATTATGTTGTGTTGTGTGTATAAAATCTATGGTCAGATTGTCAATATTTTTTCTTTTTTTAAGTATTCAAATTTTTTTTTTGGGGGGGGGAGGGTATGTAGGGGCAACAATAAAACTTGACCTAGGGTGTCAAAACCCTAAATACGTCTCTGTGGCTAGGTAGATATTATTTATTATTATAACTAAGTCGAGTTAAAATTATTTATTGAGAGAAATAACAACCAAGTAATTATTTTTGTTTGACCATATAGTTGATTCTGTTAAGTTCATAATTATCAAAACAAGTTTATCACTATATAACTTGTAAAATATTGCTATTTTACTTTGGTGATAAATGATAATCCGTCGAAAAATATACTTTATAATAATGAACTTGGTTACCACCGCGGTATTGAATAATTGAAACGTGCGAAAAATATAAGAATATCGTAAAAAACAACTTCGGGGCGATATTTAGATATAAAATGGTAAAATAGTATTTTTGTTGAAAACAGTTTGAATAAAAGATAAGAAAAAAAAATGCAAAAATTATATTTCCTTCGGGCCGGATTTGAACCAGCGACCTATGGATATCTGTGTTTTAAACCTTCTACAGTCCACCGCTCTACCAACTGAGCTACCGAAGGCCTTGTATATGACTGACAAATTCAGATTATTTAAGCGCACGCGTTGTCACAACACAATAATATTAATATCCGACGGTTAGTCGCACGCCATCTAGCGACGATTTTGTTTAATCGCTATAGTTTTTTCTATTCGAAAAGAGATGGCGTTCTACGTACCGTTTTAATGTTATATTATCGAAGTACAAAACCAATTGATATTATTTAATTATTAAACTCATCTTTATCTTTAGTCGCTCGGCGACTGATTTCGTGAAAAATCTTAATTATGAAAATATTTTGTTATCGTAAAATCGTAATGTTTTTTAAAAACGTTTTCAAAATTACGACCGGACATTCGTCATTTTCCGAAACGTAGAATGATGGTAGCTACCTATACATACGACGAGTGGTAAGCCGGTCGAATTTTTACAATTTATTTCCTTTCTACTACGCGTAGGGTACCCCTCAAATCAAAATTGGAGTAATATTTACTTATAATGTTTATAGTGTGGCGAAACGGAGCAGTGGAAACAAGACGTGCGATTTTACCGAAATGGATCGCCTTGAAAATTGTTGTTTCATTTTTTATTACACTGTTATCGTTAACTCGTCTAATCATCTAGATAATAATTCAATTAATTATTAATAATATTTACCAGTAGAATAAAATATAGGCCGTTTTCATGAAAACAATAATATGTAGTTACAAATCAATAAATATATAATAATTATTTTATTTTTTTACGTTCTTACGGTGTTTTTAAACATATCTATTAAAATTATCTTTGAAAAAAAAAAAACAATTAAGGTACTTCAATAAGTTATTCAATGTTGACGATAAATAATAACGTAAATCTATTAGCTATACAAGTTTGAAAAAAAACTGCAAAAAGTTTTCCTCCCCGGCGGGGAATCGAACCCCGGTCTCCCGCGTGACAGGCGGGGATACTTACCACTATACTACCGAGGATTATGTCTAACACGGTATTTTTCATATTATTTAGACTACAGTATATTACTGTTTTTTTTTCAATTATATAAGCAATTTTAAACCGCGATAACGCATTATTTAAACGGGTTTTTTATTTCACGACGAGAAATCATAATACTATGTTATCGAGTTCACGCGTTTACGACGATCGGGTGTTTTTTTCTCGCACGAATTCTTTTTCATGAAACCAAAAAAAATTACCCGCCCAGGTTATAGGTGGAGAATATACGCACAGACGTCAGAAAATTCAATTATCTCTTGAGGATTACGTTTAAATAAATACGTGGGCAGGTATATTATGTACGGGTACCGCCTGACCAACGATGGCATTGTACACTTGCCCGTGTATAATATTTAAAGGCGGGTAACGTCTCATTTCGATACCGTGCTGAATTATTAGGGCGCCTTGAAATATTATAAATCATAAGCACCGGGCGGTTGCCGGCACAAAACGAAATCTCGATCGTTTTGATTTTGTCTTCGCGGAGCCGCCTCTGTACCTGCACGACTACGGGCTTTTGTACGCCCGCCCGCCGCACATCGTGCGAGTTCGCGGCCACTGCAACGACCACTGGTGGCGTATTTGAGACGATCAATGGCTAATATATGTGGACCAAAAACACAAAAAGCTGTAGATGCAGGGACACATTTTACGATGGCTTTATAGAGGTCATTTATTAATGGCGGGTTTTCATAATAAATGGGAAAAACGTAGAAAAAACGCGAAAATTTACGAAATGTATTATTTTCAAAACGTATTATAAGGCCTTTCAAAACATATAAGTATAACCGATTTAAAATACATTGAATTTGTGTACATACAATAAATACTCAGCACTAATCGTGCGAAGTATATCCTTTTTTTTAAATTTTCAACTCAATACGTCTTTAAAAAAAAAAAAAATTATTTTTAACATCTTTATTGCCCGTTCTTGTACTATTATTTGAAATCAAATAAAAATTCGAAGGCCAATGTAATCTGGGGAATGTTTTTTATCGGTTAAGTTGGAGAGGTGGAATACATAAAAGTATTTAATGTATACCTGTCACCAACGATAATCCATTGCCAACGAAAAACAATTCGGAGTGAAGTTCAGTCACGCATGTTCTGAAAGGCCGTAACATTTACGATTTTCGTCAAAATTCGATGTTAACCCTATTAACTTCAAAGTTTTTTGGATAAGATGATCCATTTAAGTGAGTGCATTCATTATCTCGGAAAGGTTTAACTTTTTCAAGAATTTGTTTTCTAGAAAATTTAAAAGACAAGCAGCTCTACAATTTTATATTCATGTTATTTTTCGTCACCCTTACTTTTGGGGGCAAAACCACTACCTGCTTTTGATTTTCAAATGGCAACCTATACTAAAAATTCCATAAATAGGTGGATTATCTGTTAAAATAAATTTGTGTGTTGTCATTTTTTATTTCTATCAAACTGTCGACGAGATATTCCACTTTTCAATTTGGGTTGGATGAGAGTAATCCCAATTAGATTCCGTGTAATATTGGAAATACGAAAACGCATTTTTACTGTATTGTCCGTTAGATAAACGGCAAACGAATCTGTCCTTTTTAACATTCGTAATTTGTTAATCGACCGAACGATGACTAACTGCAGAAACATCGAATAATGGAATAATGACTCGCGCAATAATTATTATCACGCGTTTATCTACCTACTTACTTAAACCATGCGGGTTTAAAAACGAAATATTTATTATTATTATTACTATTAATTTTTTTTATTTTTTTGAATAAATTACCATGATAATATGATATTTTTAGTCTTCCGGGCGTTTATAATATTTAGGTACAATTGCAGAGTGATCAACACAACGCAAGACACTCATCTCGAAAAGTGTTATTACTATTTTCGGAATATTTGTTTTTTATAACATTTAAAAAACAAGTAATAACTCTTAAATGTCACATTCCTCTTTGTTTTGTCATGCTTATTTTGGACGTCTTCCGATTGCGTCTGGTTGTATCATTTGTGTGGCGGTATGGCGCGCGGCGTTTTAATAACGTACCACTACTCTCCTCCAACCCAAACTTAAAAGTGGAATATCTCGTCAAAGGATTGACGTAAATCGAAAATGTCAACATTCGAATTAATTTTAACTAATACTCCATCTATTTATGGAATTTTTAATATACGTTGACGTTTGAATATCAAAATTATGTAGTGGTTTTAGTGTTTCACCCCCGAAAATAAGGGTGACAAAAAATAACATAAATATATAATTGTAGAGCTGCTTGTTTCTTAAATTTTCTATAGAACAAATTCCGAAAAAAGTTAATACTTTCCGCGAGATAATGAGTGTACCCACTTAAATGGATCACCTGATATACTTATTAGTTATTAGGTATGTAAAACTGTGTTTTTTTTTTTTTTTATTATTATTATAATGTATACAAATTATTGTGTACGATTTTTAAATATTTCTTATTGCAATGCTCAGTAATTATTATGTATTGCTGATTGTATAATAAATAACGATAACGATTGGTATACAGTAATATTATTATTGTGTATAAATTTTTTTTTCCAATCTACCTACAATATCTTGTGATATAATAATAATATTGGTGAGCGACGGACGCAATCGAAACTCAAAAACATTATGAAAATAAATAAAATAAAAAAAATGGTCCAAATGGGCCGGCAATCGACGTTACGCCGGACGCAAGAAGACATAATCGACTTTTCGTTTGCCTGACTTTGGTCAGTCGCAATGTAGACGGTCTCCGTTTGTTTTAAGTATGCGGAAACCACGGGCGTAGCCCGTTTCGCCCAAATTTCGTTATTATAAGACTCGCCCGGACTAGTTTGGATCGATTTAAAATTAAGTTAGCAATGGTTGTTGCATTACATAAATTATACAATATTTGAGTATCATTTAGCGTTACCCAGAGACCACCCACGAAGGGTTTTTTTTTTTTAAAACTTTAAATTCAGTTCATGTTGAAAAATTCAAAATACTGTTCTCTATACATTTCATAATAGGCAATTTTACTCTAAAATTAAAATTATGCTTGTTTTACTTATTCTGCGTAAGCATTGTAGTTCGGTAGTTGGGCTGAGACGATAGATGCGGTTATAACGTCCTCGTAAAGAACGAACGAAACGGCTCACACGCAATTCGTCGTAAGCGGTATACTCACTGAATCGCGTAACACGTCAGAACTATACTTATTTCTTAAATGTTCTAAAAAAATTAATAGTATAATAATTTCCGAGATAATGAATGTTTTACGTTAAATGTTGATGTTATATGTATAACAGAAAACGACGAGCTGCTGTGATGGCGAACGAATTAATATTGTACATGGGTATAATATAGAAACGTGTGTGTGTGTGTGTGTGTACTTTTTGACTATCCTTATCGGTATAACATCCTTGAGGATACAATTTTACACGGTTACCTATATGTCGTATGAAAAACAATAATGATAATATCATAATAATTCCGAGGTCGAATTTTTGACGCTGGTGTGTACACCTCGGGAGACGTTATCGGAGAAATCTGTATAGGCACGTCTTCTAGGTCGCGGCGTTGCGGCTCGCGGTATGGGAACGCAATCGTAATAATATAATAAATTTGCTATTAAAATATTGTGCATAATGTGCGTGCCTCCTAATAACTTTACATGTCCAACAGGAATAAAATATTTCTACAACGTTCGTGAGACATAAGTGATATTATTGTAAGACCTTTCTCTCGTCGAGTCGTGTCTATACGTATTATAATAACACCGTGTGCAGCCAGTAGACGGCGGCAGCGAATCGTTAAGCCAATTTTAGCCAATGGCTTCGCGCTTTCTTCGTTGGGTATATAATCTGCGTGCATACACGTTTATAATAAAACAGCAGCCGCGTACCGTATAATACACGTATAATAATATGTATAGTAGCGCGTGTCTAGAATCGAATATTATACAGGGTGATGGTTGTTTTTTTTTTCCGCATCACGATCCAACACGGTCCGTAATTATTATCTGCGTCTACGTCCCGAAAATATCGAGA